ACAAAAAATTTTCATATAAAAAACAAATTTATATCGTACAAAAATATATAAAAAAATAAATTTATATAAAAAAAAACAATTTATATAAAACGAATTTTATATAAAAAAAAAAAAATTTATATAAAAAAATTTTTTTATATAAAATAAAAATGAAAAGAAAAAAAAAACTTTATTTATTTAAGCACTAATATTACCTGCCTCTTTATTTAATAGATCACCTAGTTCTCTATACCAGCTTTTCAAACACAAGGATGCATGAGCTACTTCAGGGCTTATGCGATTTCGGGTGAGACTAATCGTGTGCTTGGCGACTGAGAAAGCTTGTTCACTTGGCATACTGGTTGCTTGCACAGCAAGAAAATCTATTGTAAGGCGGGAGAGAGTCGGAAACGAAGCAGCATTTGCTCTCTACTAAAGAAGTGGCTCTGCTTCAGTTTCAATTATGATCAAGTACTTGTCAATTTCACATTGATTCAAGTCAGCCTGGTGGCTATAGTTAAGATTGCGAAAAAGTATGCGTATTGCTTTAGTAGTAGTAGGAGGTGGAAGTGGATTAATTTCTTCAGTTGGTTTATACTTTTTATGCCATTCATGAAGTTTTTTGATAACTTGTTCACACTCATAAATATTAAAGGTTGAAAGTTTATTGTAGGGATTAAGAAGACCAGAGATTGTTGAAGATTTGTTTAGGTAAGCCCAATATGATGTAAATTTTCCTTTTATTGCACTAGCTACAGCATGTTGTGAATTAACCTCAGAACTTTCATTTTTATTTAAATGTATAATAAGGCCACAGAATATCATGTGCAAGTTACCTTGGGTAGGAAGTGTGGACGAAGACAGCATTATAGTCGCGTGGTACATGGGCTCAAGAAGAATTAGCAGGTCCTGTAATATTAATACATTAAAGCAAGTGTATTTTATAATTTAAAACCAAAAATTAATATTACTTACAAAAACAAGTTTCCATTCATATTCTGTAGAATAATTTGGTTTTAAAGCTTGGTTACTTGCTACAAGAATATCAGTTATGGGATGGATTCATTTAAGTTTTTCTAACATTATATACATGCTATTCCATCTTGTATTTATATCAATTTTAGGCATTAAAAATGGAATATTTTTTAACTCAAAAATTTTTTTTAATTCTCGAATTAGCGACGGGAAGTTTCGAAGTTTTTTAGAGAAATCTCTTGCCTTAGAGATTTCTTTACTTATTGATTTTATTCCTTCTTCTACGATGATATTGAGAACATAGGCGCTACAACGAAAATGCTGCACATTTGAGTTACTAAACTCATTATTTATTTTTTCTTTTAGAACACGCCCATTACAATCATATTGGCAGCGTTATCGGTTGTAATCTCTAGAAGTTTTTGCCCAATGCCTACTTCTTTTAGAAGTTCAATAATAGTGTTGGCCTGGTTGGTTGTGGTATGCATTTCATTAAACGGGATCATGTCAAGTAAGATACGATGCATTTTCCACTCAGTATCTATCCAGTGTGCAGTCACACCAATATAGGGCTGCTAGGTACACGACGTCTAACTATCCATAGTAATTGAAATTTTTGATTGTATCCTATTTAAAAAAAATTTAATTTTATCTTTATCTTTATTATACTCTTGACCAACCCAAGTTGAGAGCATTGGCGACAGAGAGATGGTAACGGGGGTCAAGTTCTTGCAGAAATTTAATAAATTCTGCATTTTCAGATAATAAAAATGATTGTTGGTTAATAACAACCCATTTTAAAAATTTATCATTTAAATTATCCACTTTATATTTTTCATTAGGACTATATGGATCGAGTCATTGATATTTACACTATTTAATTATAGCATATTCAGAAGGGTGGAAGGCTTCAAAATGCCGATTGATTGTTGATATTGCGGTCTAGTTTCCAAATACTTGTTCACATACTTTGCATTCGTTACTTCCATCATCAAGTTCATTAAGGTAATCTCTAACAGGTGCACGGTTTTGTATATGTTTAATTTGGGCTTTTCATGGGTTGTTTGCTCTTTTTCTTTGGGTTAGCTAAAGAAACAGATGCGATTTCATTGCTCATGGAGGTTTTTTCAGAAGAGGAACTAGGAGATTCTTTGTTTATCAATTCGAATTCGAATTTATCTGTTTCTGTAAGGGATTCAAATTCGCTTGTCATTTTTTTTTTTTGTATTGAGTTTTTTTTTTCAATATTTTTTTTCTAAGGCTTATTTTTTTTGAGGCTTCTTAAATAAAAAATTTAAAACATATTCACCTTATAAGCAATTTACGATTACTGATCAAATCATCTCAATAATTATATCATATTTTATATTTTATTGGCCTGAAATCTATTTAATCTCATCGTTCAACCTATTTAGTATCTAATATATGGCTTTTGTTTTTTATCATATGGGACATTTATTTTTGTTATTTCATTATTTTGATAAAACTTTTTAAGGCATATCGCCTTTGTCATTATCATTGTAGAATGGCTTACTTTAAACGAATCTAATAAACTTTTTCAAGGCATAACATAACGCCTTTGTTTTATTATTATGAAATTAAACAAATCTTTAATAAACTTTACTTTTCTAAGGCATACTGCCTTTGTCTTT